ACAGTGTAGGATGCAGCATTGGTTTTTATTAATGTATAATTCTATTTTAGGTAAGCTTCCACTGTATATATGTGCCAGATTTGCTCCAGTTTGTGACTCTTACAACCTCAGAACCAGTGCCTGGATACGGTTCCAGGTTCCTGCCGTGTGGACTGAGGCTGGAAAAAGGAGTCTTTTTTATTATGGTCCTTGGTCTTGGAATGACCTTCAATCAAGCCTCAAACTGATGGCTCTTGTCCCTATAGCCTGTTTTAAATTGAAGTTGTATGAGGTCCTTACCACCAGCTGCTCTTGCAGTAATAAGTAGTGCACCTTTCTTACTGTCCCAAATGCGCACAATGTAGTGACTGCTTTTCGTCTTTTGTTTACTGAGTTGTGTTTTCTGTATTTTATATGTCTGTGTTATGTGTAAGAACGTGTAACGTTGCTGCCTTCTTGGCCAGGTCAGCATTGTAAATGAGATTTGTCTCAATGTTTTCATCTGGTTAAATAAATCAAAACATTTTTTATAAAGCCATGGAAAGAGATGCACAATGCAACTTAGAGACTAAGTGACCAAAGAGAGAGGAGAAAATAGACGCAACAAGTCCACAAAGAAATGCAAAATGATGAGAAAGAGGCATGACGCCACAAAGAAGTGCTAAATTACTTCATAAAGAGGCAAAACAACTACAAAGAGACCCAGACAGACTCTAGATTGTTATACAGGGCGACTGCAAAGCGATAAAGACCCACAAGAGAACTTTGCTCCGATAAAGAAGGGACTTTTATGTCACTGTATCTCAGATTCTGTGCATGATGTGAAAGATTCTAATGTCTCTACATACTCCTATGTCGACACAAGAGGGCAGCATTGTTGTTTTTTCATGCAGATGTAACACAGACAACTCTCAGAGAAGATTTGTTGGCCTTGATGCACAATTATCCAGTTTTTTTAAATAAGGTTATTGCTGTTTTTACTGCTGGTACTGGTAGTCTACATCCAGGGTGAGATACTGATTTGAGTCTACAGAGAGTGCATTAACCAGCCTTTACAGAGATAGGGTTATTTTAGTTTAATGTTCAAACTGTTCTTCATATAAAATAGTTTGCATTCAGTAGCTATGTTTTATTTCTCTGTCTCTGAGCTGTAGTGGATTTGAAATGAAAGTCACTCCCACCACCAAGAGCTGAAGATGCATGAAGTGACTGCTGTATGGGAGCTAATGTCGGCCTCATAGAGTCATACAAGAACCTCCCTCGTATGAAACAGCGTACAGAGTGCTGAGCTGTGACCTGACCTGAGGTTCTGATACGCACCACCGGCACAGACGCACAGAAACTACATGAGCCCCAGTCAGAGGGGAAGTGAAACTCAAATGTTCCCCTTTCCTAATACAGATGTTCAATTATATACATAGTCACTAAGAAAAAAAGGCCATCTCTGATGAGAGATTAATGTAAAACAGGATCTACAGTGTGACACTATGTGACTAGTACTGTGTTGCACATTTATTAACCAGGCAATACAATACAATGCATAGATCAGGGGTGTCTTGTACATTTTTAATTGACCCTCATCGAATTCTAAAAGTATAATGGAATATGGCCCACACCTGAAACTTCAGCTTGTCTTATAATATACTTCTTAAATATATATGTTGACATATATTACATAGTAGTATTCATGTGGCAATAAACCCACTTTTCAAATACATTTAAGTTGAAAACATTTTCTAACAAATCTTACTTGATGAAAAAAAGCCCAATAACTTATTTGCATAACAAGCTTGAAATATATACTTCATATTTCCCCTTATCTTAAGCAATCTGAGGCTCCTGTTTTAAGGGATGAGCTGCCAACACTTTTTACAACAAAATAAATGAAACCCTATGGAGAGCTGTGCGCTTTTTTACTTAAATCATATTCAGGTAACAAGCATGATTTACATTTGATTGATTTAACTTATAACTTAATTTATGAGGCAAAATACCTCACCTCTAGTGAGTGGCCCAGCCCTTTGTATGTGTTTCTCTATGTGGCCCCTCATTGAGGTAACATCATCCAGTCTTGACAGACCTGTTAGATATTAGATGTCTCTCTGTTGCATGGCATGCTGTGTCTCTTTTCAGTGGATTTGATAACAAGAAGGGACATCCTAGAGAATCAAACACTCAGTGGATATTGAGTTCAATGTAGATCGATTTGCCAGCGGGGGAACTGTTAAACTGTTCATGAGATACTTCAGAAAGAAGTGGAAACAAGGAAAGATGTTTGCAAAGAAAAGAACGTACCTAGAAGAGCATTACCCTCACATTTCAGAGTGACTCTGAATGACCAAATGATGTTCAAGAGATGTTAAACCGTAACTAAAACTCACCTCAACTGCATTTTGGTTCCTCAAGGACAGGTGTCTGTGTGACGTGTGACATGTCATTTGCATGATTGTAATGCTTCACTGCTCCTCACAGTTTTAAGGTCTTGAGTCACGTAGAGTCTGAACCGTGTTCCTGCACTCATCCTGAGAACTGGAGATCATGTTGTCAGTAACTCTGCTTGTCATGTTGGGCTTTCTGTGTCAGGGTGAGAGACTTTGAAAATGTATCATCTGAAATTATAGGAGTAATGTATGTGTGGTTCAATGTGTGTCTTTGCTTTTCATGTTTGCATCCAATGTGCTTTGTCTTTAACTCTTTCTATTATCATTTAAACTGCTGCTCCATGTTGTTGGTTATCTAACATTTCACTTCTCATTTCAGAGTCTTCTGCCAACAATTTCCTGACTCAGACTGACTCATCCAAGTCTGTGAGTGCTGGAGGGACTGTGACCATCAGCGCTACAGGGAGCTCAGATATTGAAGATGATCTCAGTTGGTATCTTCAGAAACCTGGACAGGCTCCTAAACTTCTTATATACAAAGCATCAACTCTGTTCTCTGGAACTGAGCCTAGATTCAGTGGTACTAGATCTGGTGCTCAGTACACTTTAACCATCAGTAACGTTAAGGATGTTGATGCAGGAGATTACTATTGTCTTGGTGCTCATGGTGGTGGCACGTTCACACAGTGATTTAGAGCCGTACAAAAACCTCCTTCAGTCTGAAGCAAAGCGTCCTGCTGCAGCTGCAGAGGTGAAGAGACTGAGAGGAGGAGAACTGGTCCAGTGAACACAAGAGTCATCAAGCAGAACCACCATGAATCCAAATAAAGCTGAACCACACTCACAGACACTCTTCAACACCCTGTTTAAACTATATTATTGTCATTAAATTCAGTCTCTTTTTGAGTGAGCTGGGAAAGTTAGATTGATGTTGAACTATAGCCACTGATATCAACATATATTTAACAGTAACTTTATGAATCTGTACAAAACAATTAATGATATTACCGCAGTCCAAACATACGCAACACAATTTAAATCATTTGAAGTACTGTAAACACAATGTTGTTGTTTACACTCCACTGTGTATTTGAATAGATGGAGTATTTAAAAGACTCAATCTATTAAAATGTGTTGACATAGTAAAGCTTAAAACAGTACTGATTATGCACAACATTTTCCATAACAAAATGCCTCCTAACATTCAAAAGCAGTTCCAAACCACAGTCAGGAAATACCCAGCTAGGCATCCTGACTGGTTGTGTAGCAAGCCCTGCAGAACAACCATCAAATCACAGCTGATCCATAAACGGAGTTAGAACGTGCAATGGACTTCACCCAGACCTTTCAAGTATCACTTGTCATCAACAATTCAAAACTAAATACAAATATTCTATTCCCGGAATCCTTTTTATTATTATTATTTCTTTAGAACTAATACCTTCAGTTTGTGTATTTATTTAATATGGTCTACATTACTTTACATCTATTTTGTCCTTATTTCTTTTCATCGTTATGGGGTTGAATTATTATTTCAGCCCTGGAAATTACCTTGCAATATTTGTATTGGTGTATATGAGTGCATGTGTATTTGTGTACTTATACACTTGAACATCTGTATATTTTGTGTAAGTGTGAACATACAGTATGAATGTAAAAAAAGTCACTTGAAAATAAGTGTTCATAATGTTTATATGCATATATTATTATTATCATTATTTATTTGCCAAGTACATGTGTACATATGTATATATTTATATATAGTATTTTCATTTTCAAAAATGGAAGTTGAAACTGCTATTGACATGTGCAGAAAATGACCCTATCGTTTTTCTTATATATATATGCATTTATTATTTTCTTGCCCTAACTTTTATATATTTTTTTCTCCAGTTTTCTTTAGTTTTCTTTATTTATTTGTACTCCTTCATTTCTATACGTTTTTGACGCAATAATGCCAATGTTATATTAGGATGATTCACAGGAGGGCTACTTCCCATAAGCTTCAGCCCTCCCGCTTCTACTAATGTTGTTCATCTTTGTGAGTATGAATTATAATTCTTTTTTTGTATGAATTTAGTAGAATAAAAGAATAAAAAGAAATAAAAGAAATTGTCCCACAATCATAAAGGATATTAATATAATACGAGGTTTCATACTGAAGGTATTAATACATCTTTCTCACAATGAACATATGAATTAAAGAAGTACAAAGACACAGTCTCATTTTAATCAACATTTTTATTTAATGATGGTTTAAAGCTCACGCCACATTTGAGATGAATGATGAGTTTCTGTTGGAGTGAAACAAATGAAATCCAGTTGAATTGTGAGCTGATGAACAAACAGGAGAATATGCAGGAAGTGAGGATTAGAGAGCAACACTAACAACTGAGCAGAGACAGCAGCAACATGTGAGCAGAGGAGATGTGTGTCTTCATGAAGATCTCTAGCAAAGCAGCGGCTTCCTCTCCAGACAGGAAGTGATGCTCTACTCCGAGCAGCGGGCAGGGTCCAGGCTTTGAGTGACAGGGCTCTGTCCACTCAGACTGGCCTCACAGCTCACTGAGCCCGCCCCCCTCCAGCTCTCTGCAGAGAGGCTCAGGGTGCTGCTCCAGCTGTAGCGGCCGTCGCTCCCCAGGACCTCCGGGCTGTGGGACCCCCCTGAGGAGCTGCTGCTGCCCCCCAGCTTCCAGCCCAGCTTCCAGGCGGAGGGGAAGCCCCCGCTGGCCAGACACACCACGGTGGCACTGCCCTGCTGCAGCTCCTCTCTGGAGGGGGGGAGGACGCTCAGGGTGGGCTGCTGCACACCCACTGGAGCAGGGAGGGAGGGGGGAGGAAAAGGGAGACATTAGAGTGAAAACTTGATTATAAGGTCCTTTTTTGATGTTGTCATTTTGCTGCTGTCAAATCCTTGTGTCAGTACTTTACGATACCAGTCACCTCTGTGGAAACATTGGTATCACTGCCTTTTTTTATTTACATTTGAGTGTTGTACGTCTTTTAAAAGAACATCCATAACATTCATCTGTTTGCAACTTACACATTATTTATCTAATATATCATATTCCAATTACTTGTATCTAGACTCTCCTTGCTCTATTGTATCTGTGCTATTGTGCTGCTCTGTTGGAGGAGCCTGTGACCTAAGATGCTCATTGAAGTATCTGCACTGTAGCTATGTACACATGACAAGAAAAGCCTTGAAGCCTTGAATCCTTATATTTCATCAAATATAACAGAATAAGTTGTGCTGCTGTTACTCTCATAAATCACTCAGGATCAGACCCACATGATTCAAGTGTGAATGACTGACTTTGTGTAAAGTGTGCAAGCTAAAGATTCATTGATAATAATGATTGAATATCTTCACATGTGTGATGATGTTCTTTAAACTGACAGAGCTGAACGTCTCAAGTGAAAACAGTTCAAACATTTATCATCTGTCTCTTTCACTTCCTTTTCACTGCATGTCAAATCAATGAACCGTGAACACGACGACAAGCTGCATTAACTGATACAATCACAAGTTTAAATGAATCCGTATTTAACTTGAATTCAACTAAATAGTTGATATTTTAAAAGACAATAGATAAATAATGTAAATAAATAAAATATTGTGAACTACAAATGTAAAACTGAATGTGGCGGAGACGTCACGCGTTAACACATTTTAATAAATAAAAACATTTAGTATAAAGTTGTTATGATAATAAAATATAATATAGACAATAAACAAGTTATTTGCTTTAAAAAATGTATTTGTACGAAACGAACAATTGATATAGAAGTCTGCAAAGGTTCCTTTCAGATTACAAGAGGAGCTTAATACAAAAATATAAAAATGGAATCTAAGTTTTTTTTAACTTGAGTCTCATTTAATAATTAATGAAAGTTATATATTTGCTAATAGTTGTATAAAATACAAATCTCTGGTACTTACAGTCAACGATGAGTTTGGTTCCTCCACCAAAAGTGTACCACAGTGATACAAACTCATTGAGTGGCCGTACAAAAACCTCCTGCACTGTCAGCAAGCATGTATCACTGAGAAAGCTCCCTGATCTCACTGATAACAGAGACACATATACAGTTTTTAAATCAACAAAGCTTTTCTAAAGATATGGATTACATCTCTGGAAGAATTAAGATGATTTATGTCATTTCTCATCACTTTTCTACACCTGGCAGAGAAACCATTACAGTCTTCTACACAACTAACTTTGTCAGTTTTATATTAGTTTCTACACGGTTAAATGAACACGAGGCTTTTCAATAATAGTTATTAACAAATGTATTTGAAACAGAACTGAAACATGTTATTTATCTACAGTGAATCTCTGTATGTATGTTAATGTCAGACAAACAGACATATCATACCAACCACAGTGGACACAAACTCAAATCCTCATCTCCACTCCTGATATAAATATGTTCTTCCATTCAGATGATAGACGGTGTAAATCCAGACAGTGTTCCTCCTGGTTTCGTGTCCCACGTTGCCTTCAGTGTGCTGAGAGCAGAGACATCATTTCCATAGAGAGGAGGCTTTGCATGGTCAGCTGATCCTCCAGTGAACTGAGAAGGTTTATATTCCTGTGAGTTCAACACTGCAGGACTCACATGTGTCAGTCAGCAGAAAGCACCATGACTCTCATCACCATCCTCATCTGGACGCTGGCCTGCTGCTGTTTCACAGGTTCATTCACTCAGCAACATTTCAAACATCATGTGCTGCCTTTCCTCTCCTTTATTTCTGCTGAGAAATCAATGATCTGTTTCTGTGTGCAGGATGCAGCGGTCAGACTGTGACTGTGACTCAGCCTGCAGTCGAGACGTCTGCTCCAGGATCCACCGTCACTCTCACCTGTAAAACCAGCAGAGATGTTGGAACTTGTAGTGGTAATAATTATATGTTCTGGTATCAACAGAAATCTGGACAGCCTCCAAAGCTCCTGATAAGATATGCGAGCACACTTGAATCAGGAACAGAACCTCGGTTTAGTGGCAGTGGAAGCGGCTCTGACTTCTCTATGACCATCACTGGACTGAAGGCTGAAGATGCAGCAGTTTACTACTGTAAAAGTATTCACTCTGGCCCAGTGTTCACACAGTGATTTGAAGTCGTACAAAAACCTCCCTCAGTCAGACTAAAGAGACTCTGAGCTGTTACAGCAGGAACCACCTGCAGCTGCTGAAGAGGAAGAGACTGACACAGCCCACTGAACTCAGAGCTGACTGGAACCCACCCAGCACTATTCACTTCTTATTCTTAAATATACATATTGTAGAGGAAACTTCTGTGTAGCTATGCAGTGGGAGTCACCGACTCAGGAAGGAGACACGGTAGGAGCAGTAGCTTTGATGTCAAACACTGGTGGTTTATTTGGAGTTACGGCCGGAGGATTCACATCACAAGTCCACAGCAGTCCCGGTGAGACTGCACGGGTGGGTTGCCACGTCAATTCTGGAGAGCCTATCTCTTGCTAGCCCATTTAACTGGTTCCACAGAGAGTCATCAACATGTTTTGATAAGATAGCTTTAGATAGTTTGGGCACACTAAGTTACCAGCTTCCGCCACTTATGGCCTTGCATAGGTCATGCCCTGGAGTCCTCAGACAACAGAGAAGGAAGTGTCCCAGTGTACCCACAATACAGACCATCTGTGACCCAGTATTGACCGGTCACAGAATGGGAACAATAACATTATTGTCTGAAGCAGCCTGTGTCCTTAAAGGAGGTAAACAGACGTCAAGGTTTGTCCTGTATGTCACATCTTGGCGTCTACGATAATTATTTCCCTAACACATATGTTAATGGATTAATGAGGTTAAACCCAGTCCAAAACACATTATATGTAAAACACAAAACACATTATATGTAAAAGCAGCATTATACACAAACCTTATTGTGATCTCTGCTTCCCCGAATTAAAACAACAAACGCTCTTTAGCTTTTCCCCACATGTCTCCACTCGGTGTGCTTCATGCCTTGACTGGCATTGATCCGGACCATTGACCTTGTATAAAATTCACACATGGACCTTTAACAAAAAAGTTTGAGTACCCCTGACCTACAGTGTGACACTATGTGACTAGTACTGTGTTGCACATTTATTAACCAGGCAATACAATGAAATGCATAGATCAGGGGTGTCTTGTACTTTTTTAATTGGCCAATTTAAAAGTATAATGGAATATGGCCCACACCTGAAACTTGAACTTGTTTTATATTATAATTCTTAAATATATATGTTAACATATTACATAGTAGTATTCATGTGGTAATAAACCCACTTTTCAAATACATTTAAGTTGAAAACATTTTCTAACAAATCTTAGTTGATAAAAAAAGCCCAATAACTTATTTGAATAACAAGCTTGAAATATATACTTCAAATGTCCCCTTATCTTAAAATGTGTTGACTTAGTAAAGCTTAAAACAGTACTGATTATGCACAACATTTTCCATAACAAAATGCCTACTAACATTCAAAAGCAGTATATTCCTCACACATTTCACATTTATATATTCAGTTTAATATGTAATATTCCATCTGTCACATACTTATATATAATACCTTGCTTTATATCTTGTTATTGTTCATTTGTTAATTAAAAATGTATATGTTCTACTTTCTTGTTTATTTCTTTAAATGTGTATTGTACAATGCCATGTCTTTGTATGCTGCTGCAACACAAACATTTCCCAAACTGGGATCAATGAAGTTCTCTCTTATCTTATCTTAATAACCAGAGGAGACTGTGAAGTCCATCGTAGACGGACAACTTTTGGACAAAATGTCCGCTCCATTAAAGGCAGCTCGTTGTGGAATAGCCTCCCAACTCAGATACGGGATGGTCCCACTCTCAATAGTTTTAAAGGTCAACTCAAAGAATGGTTGAGCAACAAACAGACGTGTAATCACCGCTAAATGCACTTTAACACAGGGGTCCACTGTCCGGGTTCAAATAAACGATTAAATGAAATGAAAAATGAACCTTAAAATAAATTCTAAAACGAGTTGGGAGCCAATGTAAGGATATGAATTTTAGTAAATGTGAAAACAAGACAGTATAGAAAAATAATTTATTAAGAACATGCAATCCAGTGAAGGCTTTTTTTTGTCTTTTGCTGAATTCACTTTATGGACTTAAAAAAACAGCAGATAGTTAAAGTTACATTTAGAAATTCAGCGTTAGAAGTTTAAACGTTAAAAGTTCAAAAATATGCCTCCTTTACTACAAAATATTTTTAATTGCACACTCTAAAATATTACCAGGATTTCACAATATTTAGCTGTAATATTTTACAATAAATTACTGTTTTCCCACTTTACAGTCTATACCTGTGTTGTTCACAATATAATACTGTAATTTTGAATTTCACAGTGAAATCAATACAGGCACAGTTAATTACTGTGAATGTACAGGATAAATGATTACCAGGATTTCACAACATGTTACTGTATTATTTCACAGTACAATACTGTATTCAGACCATCCTCTGTGATAACACAACAAATTAAGTGATTTTCTTGCTTTTACCGCTCTTGCTTGGCTTTAAATACTAATGTATTTATTTGGTGCAGGTTTTACTTAAATTGAAAGGGGCAGGCGCTGCATGTGCCTTAAAATAAACTATGCAACATATAAATCTATGTAAAATTGAAATTGTTGTCTTGGCTTATTGTTTCCAGGTGCTTCCTGGGCGTTAATCCCAAGACGGGCTCGAAAGCCAAAAAGAGGCATGGCAATTTAAACCCCCATGTCAGCACATTCTTCAGAAAATTGTTGACTTCGAGTGGATGTCTGTGTAGACATTTCTTCCCCTCCTTGTTTTATTTTCTGTCTCCCTGCTGCGCAGGTGCACCTGGTCTGCCCCTGGCTCCGCCTCTGCCCAGGTGTTCCAAATTCCACTCAGCCGTGTATATATAAAGAGAAGCTGGAGGAGAAGGATGTCTCGCCTATCCTAACGCCGGGAGACACTCTCCTTAGAATACCTCTTTGCCATTTTGAGCTGGAGGCCATATTTTTGCAGATGTGTTTCTGGAGGACCTGGTAGTCCAGTTTTCGTGGCTTTATTTTGTTCCCCATAGGGTTTATAATTGATTTCTGGTTAGGGGGGGGAAGCTCTGGGTCCTACGGCGTGTGGCTGGCTCGGGTTCCCTCCTTCTGTTTGTTCCTTTTGGCCAGTCCTCCAGACCTCTTTTTGTTTCCCGTTTCGCTTGTGTGAGCAAACGGCTGATTATCAATAAATGCTTGTTTTCAAGTACCGGTTATTGCGTGTATTCTTTCATGTTGCGGGTCTCAGTACGAGCCACTACCGCGGAGTAGAGGTTGGGACCGTAACAACATGTCCAAGACACTGTGAAATGTACTTTGCACTTCAATGGAGTAATACAAAATGAAAGCTTTAGCGCAAGTTCAATAAGGAAGACCTAACACGAGTCACTTATGGCGCATTTCCACTGCAACGGGGTAGCCCCATTTAAGCGTCCCTAAGCATCCTCGCTCAGGCCTCGGGCTGCCTCGCTGGCCGTCCGAGGCCGTGGCGCATATCCATTACAGTTTAGGACCTGGGGTAGCAACGCAGTGTAGGCGGGGCGATCGGCTTCACATTTCGCGTTGTTCCGTCGAACTCCCGCTGGATTTTATCGTCCCCAATGAGATGTAGGAACGTCGTCACCTCCTCGGTCGACCACGGTGTGCTTTTCTTTGACGTTGCCATTTTTGTAGCTCCTCCGTTTACAAAAATGCTGTTTATAAAAATGCTGCAAGCTTGCTTCTAGATATATATGCGACGCTAGGGATGATCTCGCGCGCGATCTTGTGACGATTCTCTCTGACCAATCAGCAGTCGAGAGTGTTGACGTCACTAGTTCAGCCCTGGCCCTGGTCTGATAGAACCACGATTTTATGGGGCCGGAAAAAGAGGGAAAAAGTACCCACTAGCCGGTACTAGGCTATATGGAAAGGCCACCAAAAACTGGCCTGGCCACTTGAGGACAGTTAAGGACGCTTAAACGGGGCTACCCGCTGCAGTGGAAATGCGCCATTACACGTCACTCTATGGCTCCCTTCCTCCCTCATTAAATACGAGGGCGTCACCCCTCAGCAGCCAATCGCTGCACATGCTAAATTCCTTAAATGCCTGCTCTTCCTCCCTGTCAGTTGTCATTGCAGATGATCACACGCAATGATAGTACTACAATACTCCTTCTCGTGAGAAAAACCGTAAGAAACAACTAGCTCAAGATGTCCAACTCGGACAATTCGGAACACAAACCTTCTCTGGAAGTCTCCGATCCCGGTTCGGCACCCCATAGCGGCTTATCAACAGAGGCAGACTTCCTCATCGCCCGGCTCCTGCAGCAGGGCTTTCCCACAGCCCCAGGCCTCACTCTCTCTCAGCTGCGAGAGCTCTCGGACCAGGTCTCCAGCGTAGCTCCCCAGTCCGGGGCAGCAGCTCTAGTCAGCTCCCCAGAGAGCAGGGCGAGGACGAGGCCGCAGCCGCGGAGGTAAAAAAGGGCAGGAAGTCGAGCCCTCCAGGATCCCGTCCCCCTCCAAAAATCCACCCCTTCTCAGGCTCGCCAGGCAGGGAGTGTCACAACCCCTTACGGAGCCTACACACGGCAGCGTGCGTTGCCGCTTCAACGCTTCTGCCCATTCACTTTGAATGGGGTGACGTCACGATTCGCCGAACTGCATTGTGGGAGCAAAGCGTAGCTTCTCTCGCGGTGCTCGCTGCAAAAGTAGAGCAATGTTCTACTTTTGCCGCTTCGACGGAGGCGTCAGCCAATCAAATCCTGCGTATGCAAATCTGACATTACAAGCGCTAGCCAATCAAACCGCGTGTATGTTGGGAGAGCTAGACCGCAGTTATTTCCCATATGTCAAAAAATGGAGGAGAAAATGATCGTGGCGGTACTATATGACCAGTCCCTCTTTACATACAGGGATACAAACCGGAGGAGCCAGGCATGGGGGGAGGTGGCAGAGACAGTGGGTGAAACTGGTCGGTTTTCGCCTGTTTGGGGAGTTTATATCCAGTGTACTTCGTTTGAATGGACAGCTAGCAAGCATAGACAGTATATTTAGCCAG